CTTTGTTTAAATCTTACACTTACACCTGATGTTGCATAATATTACTATAATTCTTTTAGATGAAAGTTATTAGAGAAGAATCTAACTAGATTTTGTTGTAATCAATTTTAAAAAATCCCAGAGGCTCAATAGAAATACTCAAGGAACAGAATGGTTATAAACAACTTCAAATGTCCCTCTACTACCCCCATCTCTACAAAAATCTTAAACAGTCAATTTAGCCTAGCCATATGGGACCAGTTTTTCATGATCCCAACTCTGACAACACTCTTCTTTTCCAGCAATGTCTTCAAAAACAAGTAGGCATAGTCCCTTTCTGTAGCCGACCCAATCGTTCCTGTCTTGTCACAGTAACATCTGAAAACCAAACTATAGGATTGTCAAATCTAACTGATCTATATGGTAACCCCATCCCTGCAGAACCCCATGGAACCCTCAATACTTGCCCCGGAACTGTTTCTATCTCCCCAGTAAATTGCCCAATCTATAACAAAAATTGGTCAGATTGTGGAGAAGAGTTACTTGCCTGTCTCACGGACTATGATGCAATATCAGTACAGCGCTGTTCCATTCCTCCCAGAGGTCATCATAAGAATCCCACTAACATTGCCAAAATTACTCTCCTTAGACATAACCTTCCCTTCAATGTTTACATTGGTGGAGAATCCCTCCCTGTCCGACCATATCAGCCTCTTCCCCGTCAGTGCCAAAATTGTTGGCATTTAGAACATCCTGCCAAACATTGACATTCTACAGCCAGATGCCCTGTATGTGCCCAACCTGGTCATAAGATCTGATCAAACTGCTTTTAGCGGCAACCAGACAGCGTCACGATTTGCCAACTTGCGGGGTGGCGGGGCCGGCCCATAATGTAATTTATGTAAGGGGCTGCCCCACCTACAAAATTTTTGAATCTGAGGTTTTCTCTACTGCTTCTCTCCCTCCTCTACTCGGCAGTAATATTCACTTCACATCAGCTAGCCGCGTTTTGGGCGTGGCGCTCCACCCTTCCTGCAAAAGCATCCTACATCCTGGCCCCTAAACCGAGATCCTTTTCCGCCCATGGCTTACTCGCTCTGTTCTTCTGACGCATCGCTACTACCTATCCTAGTCAAATTCTTTTTGCCACCCTAAATCCAGTCACATCGCTGAATCTCTACTACAGCAAATTACTTGGGGGGGGGGCAAGGGAAAGGGGCCGCGGCAACAACCTTCCCCTCTACGCCTCCGGCGCATTACACCCAGGCAACAGAGTAATAAACATATACACTCTCCATTCTTGTTCTTTTCCCTTCCCGCCAAATCCTTATCCCTTGCCGCGTTGTTGTCGTGGGGGCTTAGAGGCTGAGAACTGGGACCCAATGATGGGGAATTCGGCGCCAAGCGGCTTGGGGGGAAAGCTCAATGGCCTGCGGCTCAACTATTTGCCATGGTCTTTTTAAGGTGCCGCTTCCTACTTTTTTTCGCTTTCTGTCCTATCACACAATCACGGGGGGTCCCTAGTCTACTATCCACTCTTCTAAGGTGTGGAGAGCGCCGTGCTGAAGAGGATGAAAGGTCTGACCTGATGCAGTCCTTGAGGAGCGCTATGGGCACGGTATTCTCCCCTTTCTTAGGCCAGCCTACCCTTGTCAAGGGGTCCTGAGGGTTGGAGTGGGTCCGTTTCTCTGCCCATAACGAAAAATCCTGGCTTAGCCATGGCGGCAATAGTGAAAACATAATCCCAGTATTAGGGGGGGGCAATGACGGCTTGGGCCCCTTTCATCAAATAGGACGCCGCAGAACAATCAAATCCTCGACTGATTCCGCTGACCCTAATGGCCCTCGCTTTGACCACGGCTCCGACGACTGGCAACAACTGACCCCCTACTCAATGCCTGAGCTAGTATTATATGTATGTCAGCACGCAACCCGCGCTAGAGACATTCCTACCCTCTCGCTTCATGCTGCAGTCATCCATCTACCTCCACGAAAGCGTTTCTAATATCAATCTGAACGCACTATCTCGCCTTATTAATACGCCAGCAGCCTTATTGCGCCACCCTCTATAACACTAGGCCTCCTTCAATAAAACACTTACTCCGCGGGCTTCAGACATACGCCACCGCCGCTTGCTAGCTAGCCGCCCCTAACTCTACAACAATCTTAATTAGTACCTATTTAGCCTCAGCGAAATGGGACGCGATTTTTCGTGATCTCTCGCCACAGGTTCGGCCTACTCTGACAACACAGCTTCTCTTATGCCAGTGGAATGCTTGCCAGAACCAAAAAACAAGTAGGCAAAGTCCTCTTTCCGCGTAGGGCCCTAATGGGAGGAGACCGCCGAAAAACCCTGCGTTCCCGGGTCTGGTCGTCACAAGTAAGCCTTCTGAATCCGGCAATATAGCATTAAGCAAAACTAACTGAGCTATATGGTAATCGCACACGTTTGCAAGCGCCCGCATCCAACCCTCGAAAAACGTAACTTGGCTCGTACGGAACTGTTTTTCTTTCGTCTTCCCGCAGGGGCAAATTTGGCCACTAATCTATGACGAAAGATTTGGTCAGATGTGGGAAAGACTTACTCTCGCGCTGTCTCATCAGACTATGATGGCGAACGATCAGTACAATGCTACTCCATTCCTGCGCAGAGGTCATCTTAAGAAACCTCACTAATCATTGCCAAAATTACTTTCCGTAGACATGACGCTTCCCAGTGGGGGGGGGGGGGGGGGGGGGGGGGGGTATCTTATGTTTACATAGGTGGAGACTCCTCCCTGTCCGACCATTACGCAACACTCATTTCTCTCAGTGCCGAAAATGATGGCGTTTAAGGACACGCCGCTGGCAAAACATTGCCATTCCTGAGTCAGATGGCCTTCTATGTGGCCCAAACCTGGCCATACTCCGATCAGAACTGCTCTGCAGAATCACGTAGCGATGTGGGGCGCAACTGTGGTGGCCCTTTGCATGAATATAATTTTATAGGGGCTATGTCCGGCATCCTATCAAATTCCGAGTCTAATGTAGGGCAACTCTCAATTCAAACTTGGACTCACCACTACGCTAAGTAATGCAGACAGGAAGCACAGTCGACGAAGGTTTTTCTCTTAAAGCACTACTTGCCTGTAATATTTCTACTCTTTGCCCTGTCTACCCGTGCGCGCCAGCTCACTACAACCCTCTCCTAAACCTACTCCACCCGCCCCTTCCATCTAACTCCCCCCTTCTAACCTCCTTACGCTTTCCTGTCGCAGTTCGCAACTCTTTTGGCCATCCTAAATCGCAGACAGCTCCAATCTCCACTACAACCCCCTCAATCCCTTGGCCCGTTGTTTGTCGGGGGGGGGCTTAGGAGGGACGGAGGACTGGGGAAAGCGGGCCAATGGATGGGAGCTTCCCCAACCTTTGGGAGCTCATCGCCTCGACGTCAACTAATTATGGCATGGTCGTTTTTTCGCCCTTGCCCTACTTTTGTTTTCTGTCGCGTGCCTATCACGCGAAAAGAAAAGCAAACCCTTCTGCTATCGGCACCGCGCCTAAGGTGTGAGGAGCCTGCTGAAAGATGAAAGTCTGACATTTGTGCCAGTCCTGAACGGCATGAGGGGAGCCATGGGTCAGTCGGTATTCCGCCATGATTAGTATCTAGGGGCCCAATTACGCGCTCCTTGCAAAGGGGGACGCCATGAGGGGTTGACTAGTGTTTTAATCCCCAAAAGGCATAACGCAGCTTACGCATGGGGGGCCATGTTAATGAAAATATATCCCCACTGATTAGGGGGGGCTAAGGGAGGCTTGTCCGCGCTTATTCAAATAGCGCTCAAAAGAAGTTAAACGCACGCGATTCTCGCTTCGCCCGACCCCCCTAGGCTCTCTTTGACGGGACACGGAGCTCGCAACTACTGCAATAACTACCAGCTTATCACAAGGCCGGCACTAGTAGGGGCAGTACCAACAAATGCAGAAACCCGCTGCAAGGAACATTTCGGGCATTCTCCCAGGCATGCGGCGAATCTCACACTCTCTAGCGGCCGGCGTCTACAACGCTGCGTCAACCATCAACCACCCGCATCCTCCGCATTATTAATACGCGTTACAGCGCTTAATAGTCCCTCCACCTCATAATCCTAACACTACGCCTTCGCATCAACATCACGGGCGCGATCTTCGTCTACGCGACGGTCGTGGCCGTATCCGCCACTTCTACGCACCGCCCTATCTCTAAAACGCATCTTGAATACTCTCGTTCAGTGGCAGCCAAATGGGTACTGGGCACCGATTTTTTCGGGTGGATCCCTCCCAGCAGCTCCTGCTGACTCTGACAATCTCCCTTTTCTCTTTCCAACAATGCCGTCCGAAAAACAAGTATGTAAAGTCTCTTTCGTAAGCGACCGCGATCGGCTTGCTGGCCTTCTTGTAACAGTAAGCTAACATCCGAAAACCAAAGCCAATAGCATTAACAACACTAACTGACCTATATGGTAAACATCTCGCATCCTAGCAGAAGCGGGGCGAGGCGCATGCCAAACCGTGCTGCGGATATACTTGGCAAATAGGGCGCGGAAGGCAGTCTGCAATCTCACGCAACAAATTGTCGGCCACCCCAATCTATGACAAAGATTGTCAGATTGTGGGAGATCTAGCTTGCGACTGTCTCACAGACTAGCGAATGCAACGATGCATTTTTGTAGCAGATGCTATTCCGATCCTCCACCAGAGTCATCGAAAAGAAACCCACTAACATAGGCCAAAATTACGGCTCCAATTATCGTGACATGACCTTCCCTTTAATAACGTTAGGCGATAGGAGGAGAATCTCGCTCGCCTGTGCGTTGCATAACCACACCTCCCCCACTTCAAGGTGCAAAATTGTTGGTCGTCTAGAGCACTGGGTCTCATGCCAAGGGGCACAGGCCGTTCCAACAGGGCCAGATGCGCCCATTATGTGGCGGCCACCTGGCCATCGACGCGATCTAACTGCTCTGGGCACGAATCACGCAGCATGTGCGCAACTGTGGCGG